TCTTTTAAAAAACAACGACGGTTTTTTGATCTACCGTCGTTGTTTACTGGTCGTCTTTTGCCCTTTTTGTAGTAGTGATTTCCAAACACCACTTCAAACACTTCACCACCATATCCAAATACCTCCCACCCTCAACCTTGAACCACAGATATTCGGTTGTATCGTATTTGTACATGATCACCAACGAAGCAAATTGGATCCCCGAGTAGAAAAATGTGTTTTCATTGGCTATGCTCCTCATCAGAAAGGCTACCAATGTTATCACCCTCCAAGTCAAAAGGTATATACTTCCATGGATATCGTGTTCTAGGAACATGACATATATTTTTTAGCAGCACATGAGGAGAATCTAGAATCAAACACTCCACGCTGCCAAAATTAGAAGGAGGAAATTGAACTGTTTTATGAGATTTTGCCCACTCCATTGCCTTCAGCTCTAGTACCACACCAATCACCTACTGAGAAAGTCATTCAAGTAACATCTCCCCCTAAAACTGATAACACTAATGAAATATACCGTGATGATTTGATTTCAAAAAGCATATAGGATACTTATTACCCTATATATAAGCTTCTAGAAAGGAAGAACTGTGGTAAACCTCGAGTACATACAAAGCAGACCTTAAAGCCAAAGAGAAATACCCAATCAACAATTATATATCTCTAAGCAAATTATCAAAATCACATGTACACTTTGTGAAGCAGTTGTCCGATATATCTGTCCCAAATAATATGAATGAAGCATTAGAAGACTCAAAATGGAAAAAAGCCATGAATGAAAAAATGCGAGCCCTCCAAAAGAATGCCACATGAGAGCTCGTGCCTTTAGTTCACGGAAAGAAGACAGTGGGATGCATGTGGATCTATATTGTAAAACTCAAAGCACATGAATCCATTGAAAGATATAAAGCTAGATTGGTGGCAAATTGGTATATACAGGGGTATGGGGTGGACTACCAAGAGACATTTGCCCCAGTAGCCAAGATGAACACTATCAGAGTCCTATTGCCCCTAGCAGCAAATCTAGATTGGCCATTACATCAGTTCGATATTAAAAATGCCCTCTTACATGGAGACTTGGATGAAGAGGTATATATAGATTTACCACCAGGATGTAATTTAGCTCATGACAAGGAGAATCAAGTTTGCAAGCCCAGAAAGTCATTATATGGGTTAAAACAATCTCTCAGGGCATGGTTTGAAAGATTTACTAAGTCCACGAAGAATTTGGATCCACTCAAAGTAATTCAGACCACACCTTCTTCTTGAAGCATGATGAAGGAAAATTCACTACATTAATTGTTTATGTGGATGACATGGCCATAATTGGGAACAACGCAGGAGAGCAACAAAAGCTACAAAAGTATTTGTCTCAGGAATTTGAGATGAAGGATTTAGGTGCTTTGAAATTCTTCCTCGGAATTGAAGTAGCAAGGTCAAAAACTGGTATTTTTCTGTCTCAAAGGAAGTATGTGATGGATCTACTCACTGAAATAGGAATGCTTGGATGTAAGCCTGCTGACACACCCATTAAGATGAATCACAAGTTATGTGAAGACATGGACCTTTTTCCAACCAATAAGGAACAATACCAGCGCCTTGTTGGAAGGTTGATATATTTAGCACACATAAGACCAGATATTGCATATGCTGTGAGTGTGGTTAGTCAATTTATGCTTTCACCCAGTGTTTCTCATAGGAATGTAGTTGATCGGATCTTAAGATACTTAAAGTTAGCTTCTGGAGAGGGGTTAATGTTCTCAAAGAATGGAAATCTTGAAGTTGTTGGATATACAGATGTTGATTGGGCTGGTTCCATTACAAATAGATGCTCTACATTAGGTTACTTTACATTCGTTGGAGGTAACCTAGTCATTGGGTGGAGTAAAAAACAAAATGTGGTTGCTCGGTCTAGTGCAGAAGTAGAGTATCGAGGTATGGCTCAAGGAGTTTGTGAATTATTGTGGATCAGAGGACTCTTGACCGAATTGGGTTTTAAACTAGTGAAGCCAATAGAGTTACATTGTGATAACAAGTGAGCGATCGATATTGCTCATAATCCAGTTCAACATGATCGAACTAAACATGTTGATGTGGATAGACATTTCATCAAAGAAAAAATTGAAAACAAAATCATCTGTCTACCTTTTGTAAAATCAGAAGATCAATTAGCAGATGTCTTAACAAAAGCTATCTGTGGACGAGTGTTTTATGACTCACTTATGAAGTTGGGAATTGGTGATGTGTATACACCAACTTGAGGAGGAGTGTTGACATGAGTTAACCTACTAAATTAAGGAGATTTATTTCCTAATTAATTAGGTGATTTACTTCCTTATTTCATATAGTTAACACATCCTTATATAATTAGGATATATTCTCCTAATTAATTACTGTATCTATTTCCTTGTAAAACACCCTTTATAAACTCCTATATATCTCCTTATGAAAAAGAATAGAATTAACTTAAAGTATTCAAACCATATTCATATTTAAACAAAATCTACATCGTCTATAATGAAACCATAATAGTTGTCAATGGCAAACTATTGACAAAAAAGAAAAAGAAAAAGGCAAACGGACTAAGGAGGCGGTCACAATGTTTAATCAACCAACCTAATTTATTTCTGTCCATCCATCTCTTTTTTTGTTTTTGCTTTCAATGGATAGATGGGAAATCGAATACATAACGTCTTTTGAAAGAAAAAGAACTACATTAGACCAAATGCTAGTTGATCTCGGTGGCTTACTTGAATTCAAATAGAATCATCCCCAGTTTCAGCGTCTGCCAAAAAGGAAGTGGAGATCAAATATGAAATGAAAAATCAACTACTATCACAACACGTGATATCTACAATTTGAAATTTATTTGGATATACTTACTAAAGGAAACAATCTAGCAAGAAATCCCGGCCGATACTACAATAATGGAGGTTGTAATAACTACGGTTGTTGCTAATTGGGGTAAGTATCTTCGAAACGAATTTGGTAAATTTTGAATGCTTTAAACCTAAAATAGTATAAATTTGATCAGTTGAATTTGATATTACCATTGTTTGATACACTGAATCCATCACTTCGGATAAAAATGGGAATTTGGTAAAGGGGATTTTATTTTATTTTTAAGAGAGAGAGAGAGAGAGTTGGTTAAATGAATCATGAAGAAGTGGATATATAAATATGACAGAACTTTATCAGAGTCCAAACATGACACAGAGAAAAATAGCGGGGGGTAATAAAAGCAGCTCTTTCTTGTCCTCCTGCTTCAGCAAACGCAAAGCAATGCCTTCCCATGAGTCTCAATCCTCCGAGCCATTGTTGCAACAAAAGGATGCAAGCACAGTCCAAAGAAGAAAGCCTGGATGGAAGGCCGTGCGTTACATCTTAGGTATTGATACATTATGTATGATGCTATATACTTTCATGTGAATTATAAAGTTTGAATTAGGCGACGTTTTTTTATTTTAATACTTGGCCTGAGTCAGCAAATGCTACTTGGTTTTCTCCCCTGTATATGAGCTTGACAACTCAGTAAGAAAATATGGGGCTGCCCTGATGCATGGGGAGCACGTGCCCCCGCCTCCTCCCAACTTGTGTTCCCAAGGTGGGTTTCTTTTTCTTCCCTGTATATGAGCTTGACCAGACTCCAAACTTACATTACAAAGGGAAAAAGATGGTAAGGGAAACGTGCTTCTCCTTCTGCTTCAGAAAAAGCAGAACAAACCCTTCTTCTGATCATGAGTCTTCTTCTTCATCCTCCGAGGCATTGTTGCCACAAAAAGATGACTCTGTAGACTTGTTAGATTCAAGGCCTGGATGGAAGGTGGCTTACATCCTAGGTATATAAGTGATAAAAAAAATTATATATATATAAATGTGTGTGTGCTTGGAATTCAAGAAAATTGAAAAGTTCTATGAATTGGGACTTTATTTTTTGCAGGTAATGAATCAATTGAGAAGATGGCAACGTATGGGTTGACAACAAATTTTATGGTGTATTTGGTGAGGGAGTATCACATGGATCAGGTTTCTGCTGCCAATATTCTGAACATTTGGACATGCGGCTACTGTTTATTGACAGTCGTTGGTGCCTCAGTTGCTGATATCTATCTTGGAAAATTTCTCACCATTGCTCTGGCTTCCCTTGCAAGTCTTCTGGTACACAATTAATCAGCATTTATCTAACATTAATTAATCATGATTAATTAGCTTAATTGGGTCCTAATTTTGTGTATTAGGGGATGGTAACAATAACTCTGACAGCCTTTGTGCCACAATTAAGACCTCCACCTTGCATCCCTGATGGGCAAAAACATCTTGTGCAATGTGTCTCCAACACAAAAACCCAACTGGGTTTCTTGTTTGCCGGGCTATCTTGGCTAGCCATAGGCACAGGTGGAATTAGGCCCTGCAGCATTCCCTTTGGCATTGACCAGTTTGACTCAACCATTGTGGAAGGAAGAAAAAATGTCAGTAGCTTTTTGAATTGGTACTATGCTTCATCCACAGTGGTATTGTTGATCAACCAAACCCTAGTGATCTACATTCAAGACTCTGTTAGCTGGGCCTGGGGATTTGGGATCCCCACCCTCCTCATGTCATCTTCAATTCCCCTGTTTTTGGCTGGCTCCAAAATTTACCACCATGTGAAGCCAAAGGGAACCACATTTAGCAGCTTTGCACAAGTTCTTGTTGCTGCTTACAAGAAGCGCCATCTTAAGCTTCACAACGAAGAAAGGGTTTGCGGGGTTTTCTTGGATGTTTCGTCGGATGGAAATTTGGTGCTCTCCAAGCACTCTCTCACTACAAAATTCAGGTAAAGCTTGATGGGTTGATTTTTCCTTCCATTGCTTAATCACCATTGTTTGCTTGTTCATTTACCAATTCTCATTTGGCACTACTTTGGTAGCTCAGCTTCTTGAAGAAAGCAGCTTTAGTGGTGGACAATGACCTAAAAGATTATGGGTCTTGTTCAAATCCATGGAGGCTGTGCAGCATGCAACAGGTTGAAGAGGTGATATGCTTCATGAAAATCCTCCCAATATGGGCTTCTGGTGGAATCTGCGTGATGGCCTATGCGCAAGAAGGAACATTTGTAGTGTCACAAGCCCTCAAAATGGACAGGCACATTGGACCCAATTTCGAAATGCCTGCTGGCTCAGTCAAAATGATGTCATTGATCACATTATGCATATGCCTCCCATTCTACGACCGTGTCCTCCAACCAGCCCTCAGAAAGATCACCAAACACGAAAACGGCATCACACCTCTCCAAAGAATAGGAATTGGGTATTTGTTCTCGATTCTGTTCATGGTGGTGGCGGGACTCGTTGAGAGGCAAAGGAGAGCTTCTGCTTTGTCACAAGCTTCAGAAGATGGCGTTGCGCCCATGTCAGTTTTCTGGCTATTTCCACAGCTAATGTTCCTTGGCATGGTTGAGTTGTTTGGCATTGTCGGGCACATTGAATTGTACAACAAGGAGTTTCCTGAGAAGATGAGGAGCATTGGGAATTCTCTGATCTATCTTTGCACGGCTGGGGCTACTTATTTGAGCGCTTTGGTGGCGAGCATTGTGTACAGTGTTACAGGGAAGCATGGGGAGCCTAACTGGCTAGACAATGATATCAATGCCGGCAGACTGGACTATTTCTACTTCCTAATAGCTGCACTTGGGGTGCTGAATTTTGTGTATTTTTGGTTATGTGCTCGTGTATACACTTACACTTCCAGTGTAAGAGCAGTTGAGAGTATAGAGACCGACATTTTGGTTTAGACTTCTGTCCAGTAAATTTGGTTTCCTCTTTCAAAAAGCTCTGTATTTGAACTCCATCCATAACCCATGCATATACATATATTATATATATAAACCCATCCATAACCCATCCTCTTTCTAATTTTATTTCAGTTTTAAAATATATATATTATTGTTTTTTCAGTTGGTCACAGCATTGAGTTCGTTTCCTTTGCATTTAATTTTTTTAAAATCAAACAATTAAATTGATTGAAAAAAACTGCATGAATACATCAAAGATGTGTATACACGAATCATAAACAAGACTGAAAAAACAATAATCCGAAACTGAAAAATTGTTTATCCATGTAGATTTGATTCGAGTAGGTTATTTTAAACTAACACCCTCTTGATGTAAATAACCTCTTATGCTTTTGGTGTTTTCATAAAATCCCTTCAAGTTTCGGAAATTACACTAATATCATATGGGTTTCACATTGCTTTCACAAAACACCTTCCATTAATTTTTCACTTAAATTTGTTTTTTTTTTTTATAGGGACGATATTCTACTTTAATCTAATCTAAACTACGAGGAGGGGGATTCGGGTGTAGAGTGAAGAGCACATTCGTTCTAACCAATGTCTATTACACTAAAATTTCTCCAAATTAAAAAGTTGACAACATTGATTATATTGTACATACACTTTGAGGTCTAATTATTGAAATTTATTTTGTTATTTGAAACAAATTAAAATTGGGCCCTGATAGTTTTCACTTTTAGTAATTAAAGACTACAAGTTGGGTCTAATTTTTTTATGAAAGTAAAGTAACTCATGATGATGTCTTCTAGAGTGGATCTCAACGCTCAGTTATGAACGAATGTTGCTCTGATACAATTTGTTGTATATGAGATAGAATAAGGTGCTCGAAAGTATAAGATGAGACAAGTTTGAGGTGTTGGACATATGACTTACTTCAGTAGAGCTCTTTTGTATTTTATTATTATTATTATTATTTTTTGAGAAGATGATGAATTTCATTAGAAAATCAGAGTATTACAAGGATAAATTATATATAGAGTGGCTTCATTAAAACCTCTTTGAGGAAAACCCAATGGATCAAAATCCCAGAAGATGAAATAGTACCACACATGCCGAGACTACATGAGAGTTAAGCAACAATACACTCAGGAAAGTCCTCATTTAGACAATCTTGTAATCAAAGAAGTGGGTCAGAAAACTAAAAAGCTAAGGCCTCTTGACCAAGACTGAAGCGCGCAAGACGATTCGCCACTCCGTTAGTTGTGCGGGGAACAAAGCGGGCTGAGTAGGAGGGGGCAAGGCGAGGAGCCCGCGAATATCTTTGAGGAGAGCCCCTTCTGCCGCATAACAGGGATCTTCCTGAAGGATCAAATGAATGGAGATCGAAGAGTCAAACTCAATAATGAGAGGCGTGAGAGAAGCATCCACCGCAAAGGAATTACCAATTTTGAGAGTATACAACACAGTAGGCAAGCTATGAGCACGCATCCCTACCGCCCCACAAAGATGACCATAGGAATCTCTGACCACTACACCAACCCCACGTAAACCAGAACTCAAGCTAAGTGCACCATCAACGTTGAGTTTAAAGTAACCAGGAGGGGGAGATTGCCACTTTTTATTAGGAATTGGCATAGAAGACTGCCTATGATGGGAGTCATAAAACCTTATGAAACTCAACATCGCAGTTATTTGCACTAAAAACTATTTGATGAGGGGGCAAGACAGGAGAACCAAACAAAGCTACATTTCGGGCATTCCACAAGAACCACAAAGTAATAGTTAACAAAGAGTGTTGTGAGCTAAGGAGAATATCCCATACAACCAACAGCCAGATTGCAGCATCATGACACGGTAAAGTGGTGAGAAGTGGAGCCCAACCCATTAGGCTCAAAACGGAAGAACTAACCGTGCAATTGTGAAAAGCATGCATCGCAGTTTCAGTCGGACCCATACAACGAAAGCAAGTGGTATCTTGGACTATATTCCGCCTAAGAAGCACCTCACGAGTAGGGAGAACGTTGTGGGCGAGACGCCAGAGGAAATGTTGCATTTTCGATGGAACTTTAAGCTCCCATAGATGCTTCCATAGCTGTTGAGAGGAGGAAAAGGAAGACTCGGACACAGACAAAGAGGCCATCTAAGCTTAAAATTCCAATGCAGTCTAATATCCACTCTTAACTGTATATCGACCATTACGAGTAAAATGCCAAATACGGCGATCACTAGTATTGCAACTCAGAGGAATAGATAGGAAAAGTCCAGCTTCAAGAAAGGTGAATAAATGGTAGATCTCATAAACATTCCAATGACCACTAGAAGTAATAAGAGCACTGACTCTATAATCCACAGAGAGACAAGGAGAAGATTGAACAGTAAATGTAAAATGGTGAGGTACCCACAGATTGGTGTAGATATTCACAAGTCGGCCATCATCGATACGCCATTAAAGACCATGGAAGAGGAGTTCACTACCCCATAATATAGACTACCAAGTAAAAGAAGGTATCGAACACCCTTGAGCATGCAGAAAATCAGACTCTGGAAAATACCAAGCTTTAAGCATTCGTGCAATGAAGGAATTGGGGAATTCCAGTAGACGCCATCCTTGTTTGGCAAGCAAAGCTTGATTAAAACAAACGAGTTCTCAAAAACTGAGACCTCCTTCAATCTTGTGCTTGCTCAGAGCCTTCCAGGTCTTCCAATGGATACCTTTTTCACTTCCTTTAGACCACCAATAACGAGCAAAAATACTCTCAATTTCATAACATAAGCCAATTGGTAGATGAAAGACACTCATAAAATAGGTAGGCATCACCTGTCACACCGCCTTAATAAGCACCTCCTTCCCAGCTTTAGAAATAAGTTTACCTTCCCATCTTGAAATCTTCTTCCAAACATGATCTTTGATAGCTTGGAACATATGTTTTTTTTATTTTTTCCGGGTATAGTAGGAAGACCCAAATAATGTTCATGGCAAGGAATGACTGGTACCCCCAGAAGAGCATGGAGTTAAGCTTGGACTGACTCACTGGTGGATGGGCTAATACAGATAGCAGACTTGGCAAAATTTATTTGCTGCCCGAGGTTGCTTCATAAAGACTAAAAATGTTCTTTCATTCCATAATCTGGGTAACTTCATAATCACAAAATAAGAGACTGTCATTTGCCCCAAAAAAAGGTGATTAAGAGAGGGTGCAATAGGAGCAATAGAAACCCCGCAGACTCGAGAATCTCAATTGGTTTTTTGAAGCAATGCTGAAAAGCCTTCAGCCACTAAGAGGAATAAATAGGATGAGAGGGGATCTCCTTGGTGTAGACCCTGAGTAGGAGTAAGGTGACCCATCGGACGCCCTTGTATCAATAGGGAGTAAGAAACAGATGTAATACAACCCATGATCAACTAGATAAAGCGATTAGGGAATTCCATCGTGCGCATCATCCGTTCCAAAAATACCCATTCCACCCGATCATAGGCCTTTGCCATATCGAGCTTCAGTATAGCCTTTATTTTTCTTAATTTACCTCTGCGCTTCAGACAATGAATCATTTCGAAAGCCACAAGAACATTATCCAAGATCATACAGTGAGGGATGATTGCACTTTGGTATTCTGATATGACATCCGACATTGTCTTTTTTTCAACCTGTTGGCAAGAACTTTGGAAATAATTTTATACAAAACATTACAGAGACTAATGGAACAAAATTCAGTTACTCGGGAGGGAGACAGAACTTTTGGTATTAAGGCGATCAATGTATGGTTGAAATCAGCTACCCCACCACTCCCATTAAGAACCTGTAAACAGAGTTGATAGATATCCGAGCCAATAATACTCCAGTAACGCTGATAGAATAAAGCCGGTATCCTATTAGGACCAGGAGCTTTAGTGGGCCCCATAGATTTTATGGCAATTTCCACTTCCATTGTTCCTCAAACTGGAAACGATGTGTACTCCAATGACGACAAACATCAACACTAGGCCGTGAGTCAGGGAGGAGAAAAATTGGGTGATGATAAGAAGAATATACCGAAAGATGGTAGATGGTGAAATTGCCCCACTACTGAAGCAAGGCTAAATTACCAAAGCCTCTGTCTAATCACGCTTGAACATTGGCGTCATCTTTATGGTTGTTCGTCCAGGTAAAAGGATGACCCACAAAATTAAATGATAACAGATTATAGTCGTCAATTACCAGTTGAAAATCTTCAATTTGACTAATAGAGAGAAGATGAGGGCCACTTTTTTTGTCCACATCTCATTGAAGTCACTGCAACACATACATGGACCAGTATCCACCTGACTCAAACTGCGAAAAAGCTCCCAAGAATGAATCCGTCGAGTAAGGTTAGGATTACCATATAACCCAATAATTTGAGTAACAAAGGAATTAGGAAAGGTAACCTGAGCATCAATATGTCCCAAAGAGGATGAGACCAACACAACCTGTAAACCAGTCTTCCAAAGAATACAGAGATCACTAGAGAACCCTGCACTGGGAACACAGAGGACTCCACCCACACCAAGTCTCTGGACCAAGCCGCCCATTTGGACAACAGTCATACGAGTCTCAGTAAGGAAAACAATATCAGATGTTTTGTCTTGTAAGAGGTTTTTGAGATCACAAAACGTATTCCAGTTGCCAAGCCCTTGCACGATCCAGCTTAACACAGACATAGCAGAGACCAGAATTTCCACTCTAACCACCAAGCCAAGCTGAACAAAAAAACCACAGCATGCGAAGGAGAAGGATAGAGACAAGAGAGCAAAAATCCAAGGAATCACCCCAACACTAGCACGCTTAGGAAAACACCAACAGAGACCCAGAGTCACAGACACTGAAACCAGCAGGTGGGTGGCGCGAGGGAGACACGAGGGCAGAGAGCCCTAATTCCGACCGTGCCTGCAATCGATACCAGACCAAACCCAATAAAATCCAAATGGATCAGTCAATGAGTAACTACGATGAGCTCGAGTGGAGAAGGGAGAGACAAAACCAGTTGCTCATGGCAAGCCGTAAGGCAAAAAGGTGAGACGACGACGGCACCTATCGTAGACAAAGGGGGAGTGACGACGACTGGCTTTAAGGGGGGACCCTAGATATGATGTGTGGCTCTCCTCGCTTAGTGAGAGAGTGACCCTGATCTTTTTTTTTTCGTTTTGCAATAACCACTTTTGTATTTTTGATTTACTTAACTTGTTTAACTAGTTACAATGGGTTAAGCTTAAAGGCATTTTAAAGAGAATAATAAACTCTAGAGAATTATTCAAACACATTGTAAAGGAACACTACAAGAAAAACAATTTTTAGTGGCCAACAAATTGGTTACAAAAAGTACTGATTATGGTCACTGAATGAAATTAGTGTCCAAATATTGGTGGTCATTGGGTCGTCTCTAGAAGTTTGTCACAAACTCTATTTAGTGACCGTCTTTAAATATTGGTCACTTGTAATATCCCACATCGACCAACGGAGAGGGGGTGATGTGCCTTATATGTACATGCCCACCTCCATCTAGCACGAGGCCTTTTGAGAGCTCACTGGCTTCGGATTCATGGGAACTCCGAAGTTAAGCGAGTTGGGGCTAGAGCAATCCCAGGATGGATGACCCACTAGGAAGTTGCCCGTGAGTTCCCAGAAACAAAATCGTGAGGGTAGAGAGGGGGGCCAAAGCGGACAATATCGTGCTATGGCGGAGCCGATCCCGGGATGTGACAATTTGGTATCAAAGCCACTCTGCCATGTGGTGTGAGTGTGCCAATGAGGACGTCGGGCCCCTAAGGGTGGTGGGTTGTAATATCCCACATCGACCAACGGAAAGGGGGTGATGTGCCTTATATGTACATGTCCACCTCCGTCTAGCACGAGGCCTTTTGGGAGCTCACTAGCTTCGGATTCATAGGAACTTCGAAGTTAAGTGAGTTGGGGCTAGAGCAATTCCAGGATGGGTGACCCATTGGGAAGTTGCTTGTGAGTTCCAAGAAACAAAACCGTGAGGGCAGAGAGGGGGGCCCAAAGCGGACAATATCATGCTACGGCAGAGCCAAACCCGGGATGTGACATCACTAAAAAAAACAATTAGTGACTTCCTTTGTTAGGCCATCTCTAGTCATGAGGCTAAATGGAGCCTCGAGCTATAATTTAGCCCTCTAAAAATATATATATATTTTTTAAGAATAGTGTAGAGCTAAATTTTTCCATCTCCAAATAGGGCTCGTCAATGGGCCGGGCTGGGCTAGCCCGGCCCAAATTTAATGGGCTTGGGCCGGGCTTTAAAGAGGAGAGAGAAAATAGCGGGCCGGTTTTTTTTAGAAAATTCAAAGCCCAAGCCCGACCCATGAGCCGGGCTTGAGAAAGCCCATCGGGCCGGGCCGGGCCAAAATGGGCCTACTTCAATCGAAAAAAATCATAAACTTAATCATAAGGGCATTTTAGTCCAAATTTGAGATTAAACTCACTTAATTCCAATATTTTCACATCAAACCAAATTCATAAAACACCTAATAAAGTCACACAACTTAATAAGATTTTCTACAAAAATAATAAAGCCAAGTATTGTTTTTGAGGTTATTACATAATTAGACCGTAATACGTTTTAAGAAATAATTAGCCAAGTATAAATTTTTTTTTTTTTTAAAGGATGGTATGAATAAATATGCAAATGTTTGGTGATGTGTTCAA